CACCAGAATGTACATTCTTAAGAGCCTTGTCTGAATTGTTTACAGCAGTATCCCCAGGACTTAGAAGTTTGCCAGGATCATTAGTCGGTGCTCAAAAACCATTTGTTTAATGAAAGAATTAAAAGAAAGGATTTGTGGGGTGGCCGGTTAGCTCAGGTGGTTAGAGCGCAGGCTCACAACAGCAAGGTTGCCTGTTCGATTCCCACATGGGCCAAAGAGCTGAGCCCTCCACAACTAGATTGAGGACAACTATTTGACTTGGAGCTTATGGGTCCTGGAAAAGCACACTGCTCCCCAATAAAAATTTCTTTAAAAAAGAAAGAAAGAAAGAAAGAATTTGTATTTGATAATAAACCCTTTCTTTAAGAAGGAGCAAGTATCCGGGATGCTGATTGCTTACCAGGGAGCCTGGGGGTGTGCACCCCATCACCCTCAGGGGTCATCCCCCACAGGGGACAAGGGGAAAGGGAAACTTCATCTATTTCACAGGGATCCCTGCACCAGTCATGCATTCCTCACATTCTTTGTTGATGGACAATCCCAGCTGGGACAGCTGAAGAGCACATTAACAACTCAACAGCAAGAGCCTGACCTCTGAGAATCCTTTCCTACTCCTAAACTGTATTACTCTTCTTTTGAACCAAGTCCCACTCCTAAATTCAGCCAGATTTATGTCACTCAAACTTCTGACGAACATGCATTGTTTCCATCTCTGGGTTCATTCTCAGGCTCGAATCTAACTTTGCTTTTGGCATAAACTCTACCTGAGCCTCTTTATGTGGCTTGGGCAATTTGAAAGGATGGGGTGATGAAATATGAGAAAAAGAGAAGAAAAAGGAGAGTACTTATTATTTCTGTCCTTGTGATTATTTGAATACTGATTTCTTTGGTCCCATTATTGTTTCAGTCTATTAAGTTGAGTTAAAATGTATCTCCTTGGAATTTTCTCTAATATTGGTAAGGTATAAATATACATATTATCTGTGTATTGGAATACACTTTTTGTTTGTTTGTTTTTTCTTTTTTTAGTATTTAAACTGTTCATTGGTAGTATCCATTGGCTATTAGAATAGAGAGTATCCAATTTCCCAAATATCTTAGATTTCATGGACTTTTAAGGGTTGTGGTACACGAGGATCTGTCATGTTTTAATAATGTTCTTGCCACTGTGTACACAGACGAGTGTGGAAATAGAGATTTTGTCACAAAGAGAAACTATAAATTACCATGGTAGGTCTAAATCAGTTCACAGAAAAATAACTTCATAGTTATGTTCTAAAAAGATTCTTTTCCAACTTCTTGAAGTTTATTTCTTAACAAGCAAACGTAATGTAAAAGAGTGTCGTGACTATTTCAGGCATATATATTGTGTCTCTTAAGAGTTATATTACAAGATCTAGAAAAGCTAGTGTGTGTATGTCTATAATGACTGCAATTGAAATAATCAAGAAAAGGAAAAAGGCCAGTCTCGATGTTTCATGTCCTACTATTTTACAGAGTCATGAATGGCTTCAAGAGTCATGACAAGAGCTTTTCTAATAGCAAGCAGACAAAAAAAAGAAAAAGGAAAAAAAATAGCTTTTTGCCTGACACTGCAAGGAGATTATTGTCTATTTTTATCACATATTTTTCCATGAATATTGACTTTATTAATTTAATATGCATTCATTTACCTATTTTATTTTGTACATATGTAGGAATACTTCAGAATTTCAGGATTTCCCTAGAAAGTCAGGCTTGCATTGCTGTAATAGTTTTCATTTTCTGAAATATATATATATATATATATATATGTGTGTGTGTGTGTGTGTGTATATATATATATATATATATTAAACTAAGTGTCCAGAAGTTTCATTTTTAAGATTTACAGTTTACCAGAATTCTTTACCTTAATTATCATATGAACTGACAGTTCAAGACTGCTGTCTTACATTTTTGTATAGAGGGAAAGAAAGCAAAGCAATCTCTCTCACCCTTTTAAAAGTAGAAGTAGGTCTTAAATGCTTTGTGTTTTTACTCAGTTGAAACACTGATCCTATAAAACAAAAAAGATCTTGGTGAATTTTAATAACATTTAACTGAATGAAATATTTTTATTAATCACATGCAGAAAGTAGCATTTTCTTCTTGTATTATTTTATAAATATTTCATTCCTTACCAATCTTATTACTAGTGCTACTAATATTTAAAATGGTGTGATTTGTTATTAATAATAATAATTCTCAAAAACTATGAGTAAATAAAGGAATTGTTAAATTGGGCATCAACCTGAAGCTAGAGAAGAATTTCAACAAAACATGCCAGAAAAGCAAAACAAGAAATACTAGAAAACAAATCCCTATGCTGTTTGATGATTGAGATGATTCCCCCAATTTGCAAAAGAAGAAAGTTAGAAACATCAAAAGTAAGCAAACTCTGACCTTGACAGCTGGAAAGTTGGATGTATACATTAGCTGAACATTTTAAAAGCTGAAGTTCTATCACCGTTAAAGTGGAAATTCAGAAGATGGTGCAAATACACCTTGTATCGTCAGAAGGCGTTTTTATAATCAATATAGAAATGCTAAGTCAATTTTACTGCAAAGTGACTTCTTGTTCCTTTTCTAGCCCCATGTTTTGTTTATTTGGGTTGGTACGACCAAAAAAGCAAGATTAAAATGAGATAGGAGAAAAACGTTGTGGAGCATTGAGCAAGATAAAGAATTTCGGGAGAAAAAATTAGCCACGGATGTCCTTTTTACAAATGGAACATCCAGGGCCTAATTTGAAATATAAACATTTTTCGCATATATCAATTGGACGGTATAGGGAGGGGGAGGGCACAGATTGTCACAAATGAAAGCAACAGAATTAGACAAGCTCGAAATATTTTTCCAGCACTATTGTTTAAAGAAACTTTTTTTTTCCAATGAAAGTGTATTTAAGCATTCTCTTTAATGGACAATTTTTGAAGTGTGCATTGCTATGAAAGCTAAGCATTTCTGAAATGCTTTTGTTGAAATTGAAGAAGCAAGAGATTTATAGTTTAAAAGTTAATACTTCATTATGAAATATTAACATTTTTGTCTGGTTTCCAAAGAGATTCTACACAAAACAGTGAAGGTTGCCCAGAGGGAAAACTAGGGCTCAAGGTTCCAAAGTGAGTGGTGAAGTGAAAATCCAGGAAAATATGATACTAAGGAAAAATTAAATGCATTGATTTGATTAATACATTTACATGATGATTGGCAAGTTATAATCCAGGTTCCACTGCCCAATATTTATGGGAAGGGGTGCGCGGAAGGAAGATTCTGATAGCTTCTTCCTACTATTTATGTGCTGTGCAAAGCCAGCTTAGTGGGGGAGTGGTGAAGGACTGGGGCTGCATTAGAAAACATCCTCTGGGCCGGCTTTCTAGGCTTGCTTTGAACTCTTGTTCATCATTATTTTATGTGGCAGCTTGTCTTTGTGTTGGTGGAATGGAAAAGAAAAACACAGGAGACCGCCTTTAGGTTCTAAATCAAAGCTCTGCCCCGGATTGTTGGAGTGGCTTTTCAAAAGCAAAGCAAGTGGGGACTTTACAATACCTTGTTTCTGTGGACCAGGAGCTGAGGTTTCATTCTTATTTAATCCTCAGTAACAAAAAAAGTATTTTTCAACGTATCTTACCTGTACCCTAAAAAATCCCCAGTATTTTTTTTTTCTTTCCTATTTGGCACTTGGCGAAGATAAAGCAAGGTGGGGAAAACACTTTAAAAGGGAATCTACAGAGGGTGCGAGGTAGCGTCCCTTGTAGAATTTCAGAACCGGAAGGAACCCGGCCATTACCCCAAACACACCCTTTCTTGACAGTGTCCTGAAGGTCCCAAAACACTAAATCGGTTGCCTAAGATTCCTACTCAGAAAGTCAGTAGGAGACCTCGCCTCGCTGTATTCCCAGTGCTCCCTCGTTACACTGCCTTATGCTGCCTCTAGCGTTAGACCGAGAAGCTATAAGGAGGACTGGGGTCGGGAGGAAGGGAAGAAAAGCTGGAGAGGGTCAGAGATGCTCCTGACGAGGCAAAAAGTGAAACCTAAATCAAGATATTTGAACATTAGCCTGGATAAAGACAAGCAGCCTGCTTGTCCCAGGCAATGAACGCACAGAACAATAGCTACCACTGAATACCTGTGATGCTTACTTTCAATTTGGGAAGATCAGCCTAGGGAAGAAAGCTAATCGCTTCCCTTTCCACCCTCCAAGCCTTCTACACATCCAAGTGACTGTCGTTCCTCTAACATTTCGTAGGCTTGCTTGTTCTTTACGCGTATAACACACTTTTTCACGTGTGTTTTAGGTGTCTCTTTCCATTCTCTCTCCCCTCGTAATTCCCAAACCGTTATTCTGGGTTTTCTTAAATTGTAAACTCAAGCGACACTGGCACCTTAGTTGGACAGGAGAGATCTGGTTTCCTTATTTCGGCAAAAGTCCAGAGGATCATTCCTGCCACCCACCCACCCATATTTAGACACACTAGGAAGCCCCTCAAAGATCATTTATGGAGAGGAAGGAGTGCATTTTGTGACCGCTGGTGGGCAGCTGGAGAAAGTGGTGGAAAGAGGGGCGGGGGACAGCATCTATGCCTGTACGGAGGCGCAGAATGGGAACAACCTGACCTGCTGCCATTCTGCCCCGGCGAAGGCTGGCACAATCACCAACCCGGAATCGTTTGGTGGTGCCGCGAGTGGGCTAAGGCAACTCGGCGGGCCTGAAGGGCGGCGCAGAGGGTAGTGCTGGCAGCGTGAAAGGCGTCTTTGTGCAGGATTTGGAGTGAAGGGGTGATGAGAGCGGCGAGGGCTGAGCCCGGAACTAGAGGCTGGGGTTCTGGGACTCCGTTAGCCGCCCCTTCTCAGCCGCGCTGGAAAGATCCCGGTAGTGCCGGCAGGGGGCGGTGTAGTACTGTGGGGGTGGGGTGGAGGTCCCTAGGTTTAGTCTTTGACACTGGAGGTGGGGGATGCAGCAGGAGGGAGTTGAGGGATTTGCCTCCCCGCCCCCTCCCCTAGGTGGCAGAGAGATCGCGCTGGCTGGAAGAGTGCAGCCCCTCGCCCGGTGCTCACTCCGCAGTCAGGGAGCCAGGAGAACTGCCCCCGAGGCGGAGCCTCCCTCCTGCCCCCGGGTACCACTACCCCCACCTGGGGTTGAGAGGCGGGAGCCGCGCTGCCCTCCCTCTGCGCCCCGGCCGCGTGGCTTGCGGCTTATTTTCCCAGCTGGCAAGCGTCGCGCTGCAGACAAGGGAATGCCTGTGGTGAGTTGTTTATTTTGTTGAAGTTTGCGGTGGGCCAGGGGGACGTGGGGGGCGAGCGGCAGGCAGCGGCGGGGACTGTTTTGTTTAGGTCTCCGTCCACCTGTGTGGTATAAATCTGCCAGCCTCAGGGCGGCGGGGAGCCAGGGTGAGAAAACCCCAGCTGCTCCAAAAGGCCCCCTTTAGTCACTTGCAGATCTAGAATCACATTTGAGTCTTCACTCCTGGAATCGGCTAGATTCTAGCTTACACTACCCCGAAGTCCCTGACCATTGCTTCCCGCACCCGCTGGGGACAGGGCTGGAGCCCCTAAGAGCAGCCAGCGCCCACGACCTGGTCATGGAAGTTTCTCCCATTGAGGACAGGGGAGCTGAGGTTTTGATATGAGGGACCTCGTGGAATTAGCGGCAGCTTGTTTTGGCTGCTTCTGACATGAAGTCCGTTCAGGGGTGGCGGGTCTGCCCAGTACTACAAACTGGGATCCGGGTTGGCCAGAGTTTCTCAGACTTGAGGCTGCAGGGAGGAGGGCGGTTGGCTCCCGAAGAACCCAGAGGAACCCCCGGGGCTGATGGCAGTCACCGCCATGGCTGCGTTTGCCTGGAAGAAAAACCTAAATACATTAGCGAGCTGGTAAAGCTTTTAAGGCCTTCTCGGGAGTGAGTGGCTGGCTAATGAGAGGTTAATTTTGTTTCGAAGGGAAGGCTGCGCTGGTTTCCTGAGATAAATGGACAGGAAGCGCATTACCTCCGCGCGCTGGCAAGCGGCTTCCAAATGCTTTTTGCACCTGCCGCTTTGAGCAGTGCGAGCCGCGGCGGAGCCCGCAGGGATCGCGGGGTCTGGTCGTGTATGCTCGGGTGATGAGCCTCACGCACGCCCGGGGCCGTCTCCTTCCGGGGGCGCAGCGCTCACGCCGGGCTCTGGGGCTCTTCTCTCACACCCAGGTTCTGCGTGTTCCGGAGCTCGGTGGCCCCCTGATCCCGCCAAGCCCCCTCCAGGAGCGGAAGGGTTAAGAATGATGTAAGTACAATCCACGAGCTGCTTGCCGCTGGGCTGTCCGACTCCTGGGCTGTTTCAGCCCAGGCTTTGCGTACACAGTGGACTGGGGAGCAGCGGGGGAGCCCTTACTCTAGAATGGGTGACACAAATGGCAACTCCGAGACTGATTCCTGATTCCTCTGCCCCAGTTGAGCTGTTAAGCAGACAGACCCTCGTGTTAGATTTTTGGAAATGAAGATATATTAACAGGGAACAGGAAAAGAAACCGCATCTTGTTTAGAATCCATTAATGTTGCTGGCATGTGTTTTAATTTTATCCACTTGCACGTTCATACCGTTGCTTTGCTGGGTCCCCTAATTGTACTGTCCTGGGTTTGTCTTTCCTCCTTGAAAAAAGACGAAAGGAGAAAGAGTACAAGGGGCAAGAAACAGGGTGGATTTGTGAGTTGTATATACAAGCTGTCACTTTTTCTGATTAAAACGTAAAATTTTTGTAAGTCATTGATTTTATGTGTGTTCTAACTCCCTCCCCCAATTTTTCTTTGTGGAGTCTTAAAATCCTCCTTAACTTGCAGCATACGAGCTGGATAAGTGGATACGCTACAAGCGACCATTCACCACGCTCTTGCTTTCCAAGCCGATTTGGGATCTTGCTAGCAGGCAGAATTTACCCAGCGAGTGTGTCAACTGACCTAAAGTCTTGAAAATAGGAACCAACTTGCGGTTTAATTGTGAAAATTAACATTTTCCTCTAGCCGGCTGAACACTTATGCAGCAATAAAAAGTGAATTGTTAGGCTTATAAATCTTGAGCCTGTCAAATTTTACAACAGAGGAGCAATAAAGCACCTTAGAAGAAACGAAGTTTTCCCTCTAGAGCAGTTCCATTTCACACCAGGATTTGCAGTGACTCGAGGGCGCCCTCTATTGCTAGGAAAATAGAGAGCACCTCTGAACTTAAGGAACAGGATTGGGAGGTGGGGGGAAAGATGAGAAAGGGGGAAAAAATCATAGGTCACTGGCGAGAAGGCCCAAACTAAACTAAATTTGACCCATAACTCTTAGTTGTGTGTTTTTAAGTATGTTCAATAAAGTGGGATGCTTCTTTCATAGCGGTCCAAGGAAATCTTGGGTAAAAAAAAAAAAAAAAAAAGAAACATGTTACCGTTAGTGCTTGTTAGCAAAATACTATGAAAAACAGTGTTTACATCTGATTACTTTTAAAAGACATTTTTCGTTAACCAGTATTTCGTTAACTTTATTTCATTAAAAATATGTAGTAATTGCAAGAGAGTAAAATTTTGGCCTAATGGTATTTACTCCATAGTGTTATCTAAAAATCATATCGGATAACTCCCCCCAAACAGTCATTTCTCCAGGCAACTCTGAAGCTATTATGAAGCATATTGTGGATGTACACAAAGCTTGGATTATATCTTCGGCAGTGAAAGGTGTGTTTACCACTTGAGTCATCATGGTAAATAATAAGTAATGAAAACTTATAGTAAAAAGATAGGCATCCTTCATTAGGGACCTAGTGATTTGTACAATTCATAACGTGTCTAATAAGTAAACTAGAGTGATAACAGGGTTTGCCCCCAATTATCTTGGTCCATTGATTAGCACATTGTAACGTGGAATATTAATATGTCCATGGTTGATACTAAATTCCTACTCGGAGGTAATATAGCGGGTAGTGTTGCAAACCTCGATTTGGAGATACTGTAAGTGAATTTAAAATGGCAGCTCTGAGCTGTTTGAGGAGCGGCAAAGGCGAGGGCAGTACTAAGTGGCTCCCAGCCTTTGAGGCCATTCTTGAGATTAGATACCACTTCACACCTACTGATAACAAATTCGAACCTATTATCAACCTCATGACAAGCTGTCCTGTGTCTCCGCTTAGCAACCTCTTTTCCGGCAGACAATTGGTTTTCCCCCTCGTTTTGGATCCATCCAATCGCAAAAGTAGAAACTGACTTGCCACTGAATTAATCTAATAGACTATGAAAATGCCACTGAGCAACAACAAATCATGGCATAATTACTCTACATTGCATTAAAAACTGACTATCCTCATTAATCTAATTACACTGTAACCGAACACGTTGAAATTCGCCCACTCTCAGACCCCTCCCGGCTGCTTTCAGGAAGGGAAATGTCAAAGGAACGAGAACACCTGGGCCTCGCACAGCTGTCTACGAATTCCGCCGGGAGCGGGCGGGCACCTTCCCAGCCTATCTGATCTGTTCTGGACCGCGGGTCACTTTCGGATTTCTAACGCGTCTGGATACCACCTTAACCAAACGTCCGCAATAGGCTCGAAACGCGGTTCAGCAGATGTGATTGGCTGCAAAGGGACTTGCTGGACGGCGCTGGGTAAGAGCGCTCGTTTCCTCCCAAGAGCCAGAACTGCAGCTGGAAGTGGAGGGACAGAGTGCGGTGATAAAAAATAAATTTAAAAACTTGGAGGGAAGTTGAACCCAATCACATTAATTCAAGGAGAAATCAAAGGCCAATTCCTTTGTAACGCCGGCAAGGCAGAGTGGACATCGCCTGTTTCTACTGGGTCCGAGGAAACAGTAAATCGCAGAAAAGGGTGGGTGGGAGAGGAGAGGAGGTAGCGAGAGGCAGACTGGGCTCGGGCGCCGCGGACAGGACCCGCAGCGGGCAGACGCGGAACTCGAATTACACCGAGCAGGCAGGAGGCGGGAGGAGGCAGGAGGCGGTGCGGGGGTGGGTGCTTTGAGCACTGCTAGTGGCGAGCTGGGTCCAGAGGACCCACACTCTCAGCCAATGGGGTTGGAGGGCGGGGCGCGCCGGAGGGGGATGCGACAGGGATTGGTGAATATAGGGTGGGCGGGGCGGCAGTGAGGGGCTGAGATTGATTGACCGCGGGGGCTTTCGCGCAGAGATATCTGGGCGGCCTGCGGTTGCTAGCTAGGGCTGGGCGCGCCTCCTGTGTGCACGCCCGCGCTCCACGCCCGCAGAGCCCACGCTGGCCGGGGCCGGGACGCCCGTGTGCTTGGGGCCGAGCTCCGCACTCGCTCACAGTCTTTGTGTCGTCTCTCCCGCCCCCTCTCCCTTCGCCCCCCGCCTCTGGCCGCTACGATGCCGCTGCGCCCCGTTGCTGCCGCCGCCGACTCGCTCCGCCCGCGGCGCGCTGCTTGCTGCGGCGGTGGCGGCGGCCCGTCTCCGACGCGGGCCTGAAGGAGGAAGAAGAGGAAGCGAGGAGCGTCCCCCGGCCCATGCCGCAGCCACGGCCCCGGACCCGCCACGGCGCCAGCGCCGCCGCCCTCGCCGGAGCCCACGAGACCTGCATGGACGGGCATGGGCTTGAGAGCAGCACCTTCCTGCGCCGCCGCCGCCGCCTCCGCCGCCGCCGCCGGGGCTGAGCCGCGCCGCCGCCCCCGGCTCTGCCCGCCGCCCCTGGCGTTGCTGCTGCTGCTGCTGCTCAGCCTCGGGCTGCTCCACGCAGGTACGAGGCGCGTGCGCGAGTGAGCCAGCCCCAGGGCCGAGTGCTTTGTTCCCAAACACTCCGGGTTCCGAAGGCGCTTGTTGGGGCGGAAGGGCGGCGTGGCGCGACCGGAGAGGCCTCACGAGCGCACCTTAGCCGGGCAAGCAGCCGCGGGGTCAGGAACACACCCGCCGACCGTGCGGCGCGCCCAGAGCGCAGAGGAGAGGCCTTTTCCCCTCCCTCCTTCCGGCCTTCCCCGCCTTCGCTCGGATCGTTGATAAATCTCCCCTCCAACAGCCGCTTATCAAAGATTTAGCGGGCGGAGGCGGTAGGGGCTGCGCGCCCGAGACAAATGTTCCGGATGCTTTATTGCTCTTTGCATTGGTGTTTACTGAAAGTCAGGCCGGGATCAGGTTTCCGCCGCCGCCGCCGCCTTCTCGGAGAGGAGACAAGGAGCCTTGTGCTGCTGCTCTGGAGTTGGGGGTGGCGGCGAGGCGAAGAAAACGCACCACATGGAAAGATTTTTACCAGAGTTTGTAAACTTGGAGGTTAATGGCGGAGTAACTTAAACTACTTTGAACAGGGATTTCTTTCGTATTTACGAAAGCTGCTTTTAATTCTGCTTTCAAACCCTTTGGAAAAAAACTCATGCTTTGTGGCTAGCCGCGTGTTCCCGGAGGGGTTGACAGATATGCCGCTTTCTGGAGGTTGGCGCTTCCCCCTGCGAAGCAACAGTGAGGAATCTGTTCATAGCGACGTATGCCTGCGGATGAGCTTTCTAGAAAGCCTGTGATACTATTTTTCTTTTCCGTTTCATTAACACAACGTTAAATGCCAGTTACACACTCTCAGGAAAGTTGGGGGCGGGGAGTGGATCTAGGACGCTCTTGACAAATACGACCACTTCTAGGAGTTTGTCCAGACAAGGAATTTTCAAAATGCCAAATTGAAAGAAGTTATTTTTAGTTTGAAGATAACTAGAGCATCAGATAAATTTTTCTGCAAGATCTTTTTGTCCTGTAGTTGTATGGCAGCAGTCACAATGCTCTGATCTGGGGAGAATCCTGAACTTTAATGCCACCCAAATGTGGGGAGTAATTTGTATCTATCTGTTAAGTCATACCAGCCTGTGCTAAAAGTCTGGGAGGTCTTTTAAATAATGGGGGGAAATATGGCATTTAAGGAGCTGGCTTAATTTACTTTGCATAACTTGGCGGTAGCTTTGCATTGTGATGTAACAGCTGCATTTTAACACTGTCACTTGGGAAAACATAAACCGAAGTCTTAATAAAGAGTGTAAATGGCAAGTTTTAGAACGATGAAGGCTTTAAATTGATGATTTTAGAACCTTAGAAAATAATGTCAGTCTGCTTACAGTTACATGGGAAATTTTTCATGACGTGTCAAAAAATATATTTAGGACTGTTTTGTGCAAAAAATATGTGTCCATAATGTCACACTGTAGGTTTCTTGAAATGGAAATTGAAGTGCTAGACGGGACTGTGTCCCCCTTGACTGCTTGGATGTTGTTTCTTAGTTGCCATAGGCTCTTATGACAGGATTGGAATGTGGTCCTTGAAGATTTCTTTGCTGGTCCATTAAAGACCTAAGAAGTTGGTTTAAAGGTTTAGAAAATTAAGGTGCCTTAGTTCAAGAACTTGGAATGTCAGATTTCCCTCGGTATCCTAATATGTCGTCACAAAAAGTCACCATTGTATTCTAGCCAGAGTTGGTGTGGTGAGTGCTTTCTGTGATCAACTTGGAGTAGCGCAATTAATCTGGTTATGGAAAAGAGGGCTCCTTTTGAGAGATTTCTTTGAAGAGCGGTGCTATTGAAATGCAAGGGTTGTTTCTCAGCGCAGGGAGCCTAGCAGAGTGCTCTTTGCAGATGGCCTGCCATATGTTCTATGCCTGCATCCATATAATTTGCCTCAGCACCCCATATGGTTCCACATTGCACTAATTCAGCTTCAACATATCTTGTTTCTTTTATTATAAACTGGTGACTGTGCTGCATATTCACACGTGCAGTCCTGGCCTTGAGGAAACTGTCTTGAATGGTGAGGTCTTTATGTCTAACTCATTAACAAGCTCTGGACCCAAAAATCCTTTAGCACTTTCATTAACTGGAATGAAAATACCATCACACTAATCATAGACAATCTGACTTAAAAAATAGAGACCTGTAACTGTGGATTTTGAATCCTTCCCCTGAGAAATGAAAAGAGTACTTTATTTACTTTTTTTTTTTTTTTCACTTAAGCAAACCTCTGCAGTTCCTGACTGGAGATCCAATATGGGAGTTACTTGCTTACTCATACACTTCATGGCCTCCTTGGCTGCATCCTTGAGATTGTTTCTGCTCCGCATTGTCTTGGCATTTTGACAGGAGGCTTACTTTACCGCCTGTAACAGGCAAAGGGTGCATTGTCATGATAAATTCATGAAGCCTGGATATTTCTGGGTGTATGCTGCAAATTAGTCATTATACAGGATCCTGCAATGGGGCTGAAACTGCTGATCCAAGTGCACTTTCTCTCTCTGGTTAGCCCTCCTCCTTCCTCCCATCATCTCTGTTTGAAAAGGCTGTTAGAAACTTCATCCAAAACAAAAGAACCCAAGTTCTGTTTTATGTGAGCTTTCTCAAAGGCATCAACACACCTACCTACTAGGAAACAGGGAAGGAGAAGAGGAAGGAAGGTAAGGGAGCAGGAATCTGAATTCTCTGGGTGGTGAACACAATGCAATATATAGACGATGTTTTATAGGAATGTACTCTTGAAACCTATGTAATTTGATTAGCCAATGTTGCCCCAATAAATTTTAAAAATATTTTAAAAGATAAATAAATTCTGCATCTCATCCGTTCCGAACAGTTGCATCTGCATTTCCACGCTGTTCTTACTTTTGATATTTTATGACTATTTGAAATAATTATAAGTAAATGTGTGCTCAGATAGATTTTATAGACCATAAAAAGAACATAGGTACTGCAAGTTTAGCGGAAAGTTCTTGTGCTGTCATTTATTTGTACTCTAAAGGCTGTTCATTACTGAGTGATCTTGGCCCAGTTTTTATTTCCTTGTTTTCTATTTGCTGTGCATCTAACTTAAAATGAAAAAACAAAATAGTTAAGTCTTTTTTTTTAGCTGTCAAGTACCATTGTGAGAGAGAGGAGTGTCGGGGCGACATGACGTGTGGAGGAAGGGAAATGAGACGGGAGGAAAGGCACCACGTCCCTGGCTTCATACTAGCCGTGTATGAACCAGCCAGGACAAGGGCTTCAACTCCTTTGCCTTGATTTTCCCATTTTTTTATTTAATTGATTTTTGTTTTGTTTTGGTTTGGTTTTTTTCCATAAAAATCATTTAAAATTACTTGATCTACTTTGGAGAGAGGAATTCTATAAATAATGGAGCTGCTTTTGTTAACTTTGGAATGTGCATACACAAAATAGGCCAAACACATGATGATGATTTTGTGATTAACTTAATTTTCTGTTTTACTCAGGTTAAAGTGAATATCCAATTTAGACTACATTTTTCGCTTTTTGGTCTTTGAAATGTAAAAATGGGAGAGGTATCTTGAGAGGTGGTCCTCTCCTACCCTTTTCTCCCCAGTGGAAGCCAGAGACTACAGGCTGTTTAATTCAGATTTAAAAGCAGTTTACTACTGAAAAGATTAAAATATCTTTTTAAATTATCTTTATTTTTTTTAATAGGTTTAGTTTTTTTAATAGGTTTAGTTTTAAGTCTTTATCAGATGAAGTCCTAAATCTTGATATTATCCTGAAGTTCGTTATGCCCACATATTTAAATAATTACATATTTAATAATACTCTACTAACTGCTTTTTTTTCATGCCTGAGAAAGGTCACAGTTCATTTTAGAACAACCTCCTCATTTCTCAGATGAGGAACCTAAGACTTGAGAAGATGGAGACTTCCTCCATAGTTTAGAGACCTATAAAGAATGTTGAAGTCATACAAATACATGTTACAGTTCATGTCTATAAAATTTGAGGTGGATGATAAAGAAAAGAATTTTTCTTTTCAGTAGTTCTAGTGTTCCCACTTTATGGAACAGAATATTAAACTGATTGGCACACATGACTGACCTAGTGTTGGCAATTCTTGTGTTTTTGGTGCTTTGAGAGGTTTTATAAATTTTTATGTGATAAGCTAGTGGCAAAACATCATTTGAAAATGGGTTTTTTAAATATTAGGGTAGTAGTGCGTAGTTTTTCATTACTTCATTTGAGCTTTGCTTCAGTCATTAAGTTTATATGAATTGTTGATTTAAGAAAAAGAGTCATTTATATATACTCTAAGAATTCTGTTTCCTATTGTGTTTCTGAAAAAAATATAGCTGGTGGAATCATCTGTTTCTGCAGGTGATTTCAGTGTTTTGCCCTTTTTAGTGTACTTTTACTGGTGAACTGTTTGGGAGCTTGGATCCTAGGGTGATGGCTGTTAAGGGAGAAGTGAATATATATAGCTTGGTCAAATGAATCACTTTATTTTTTTTTAAATGACATTTACACTTTGTAGAAACCAGGCGATTAAGGTATTCGTTTATATACAGTTTGTTGATAAACTTCCATCAGGAAATGCAGAAAATGTATTGCCTGGATTTTTTTCTTGATATTCTTACCCTGTAGTTATACTAGAATCAGGTGTCTTAACCAGTCGTGCTATAAATTAGGGGTTTCCTCCTACCTGAGGTGTGGAAGCTTTAATGGTGGTTTTGTGCACAGACAGTGCTTTCCAAAGCAAATTACTTACACAGTTTTCAAAGTCAAAACAAAGTTCACTTCTTTTGCTTGTCCTTAGAGCAAAGGAATCTTTCTCAAAATCTATAACAATAGCAAAGTTGATAAAATATGTTATTTACCATTCCCTAAGAACACTGGACTAGACCCATGATCACTTTCAGTGGTTCATACTTGAACGTTTTAAGTTAAATGCATGTAATTTTTCTCCCAGTGGCTTAACTTGTGAGAGACACAGAAACACAATGCAACCCTATTTCTGAAGGCCTTCTTAAAATAGGAGTGTATGAAATAGAACTAACAGTTCCCAGAGGAGAATGTCATTCTCTCATGTAGCTCAGGAAGTTATGAAGCGTTTTTAAAAATATGTGGTCTTATCTTCTTTCCCATAGGTGACTGCCAACAGCCGGCCCAGTGTCGAATCCAGAAATGTACCACAGACTTTGTGTCCCTGACTTCACACCTGAACTCTGCCATTGACGGCTTTGACTCTGAGTTTTGCAAGGCCCTACGTGCCTATGCTGGCTGCACCCAGCGAACTTCAAAAGCTTGCCGTGGCAACCTAGTGTACCATTCTGCTGTGCTGGGTATCAGTGACCTTATGAGCCAGAGGAACTGTTCCAAGGATGGGCCCACATCCTCCACCAACCCTGAAGTGACCCATGACCCTTGTAACTACCACAGCCAAGCAGGAGCCAGAGAACACAGGGGAGGGGACCAGAACCCCCTCAATTACCTTTTTTGTGGCTTGTTCGGAGATCCTCACCTTAGAACTTTCAAGGATCACTTCCAGACATGCAAAGTGGAAGGGGCCTGGCCCCTCATCGATAATAATTATCTTTCAGTTCAAGTGACAAATGTGCCTGTGGTCCCTGGATCCAGTGCTACTGCTACAAATAAGGCAAGAATACTTTTTTTTTCTTCTTATACCTTTCAGGTATCTGATTCTTTAGACAACTTGGGAAGTGTGATACAAAAGACCTGCTTTAAAAGGAACTTTGCTTGGTCTTGGCAAGCAATTAACAGAATAGATGAAGGATTAAATGAAAATTAGTAAAGAATGTCTTGTTGAAATTCTAGGGTTTATGTAAAATGTGGATCTAAATTTAAATAAGCAATCATATGAAAAAATGAAAAGTAAACAGAGAAGTTGAGTTCTCTAGGGAAAAGGCAGGCCTGTTTAATGAAAAAAATGTGTACTTTTTTCAGTGGTGTCTCGAGTGCATATGTGTGTCTCTTCTTGAGGAAATCCATGTTTAGATTTATCAGATGACTGAAATGGGTGTTCTGAATAAAGAGAGCTGTGAAGCCTGAGGGCAATAACCCATCAGGAAACATACTTTATTGGAAATTTGGAAGCTATAGTAAAAAGTAATGGCTGTAAGCCAGCCTCCCAGTGGCAACCCCACAAAGGTCTTTTAGTTACTAACTTTACGGTGACCAAGGAAGTTAAGAATTGGATATTGCAGAGCAGTGATGTATAACCCCCATATAATCTCAGGATAACAATTTAAGTCAGAAGCTGAGGGGAGAACTGACAAAGGTAAGTTAAGCTCACCTTGCTTAGCTGCCAGTGTCTGTGGTTCTGATTGTTGGTTGGTTTTAAAGAAACTAATACTGAATCCTGTAAGTCAACTTGAAGGCACCAATGTGTTAGTGAGTGCAAGTAGGTAGAGAGGAGCCATGAATTGGGTTTTCAGTCAACAGTCACTGCTAATTCAGTCATTCGTAAATAAAGAGGTCAAAAAGTGTTTTTCACAAAAATAGTGTCCCAAGTAACTAGCTCCTTTCCTGTCTCCCCCAACCACAAAATCACACATACATACTATCTCATTTTGATTAATCTCCTTTGTTTATTTTATCTATTTATATTTGCTTTAGACTAAAATACAATTGACAAGGATCAAGCTTTTTTAAAGTGAATTTTAATTTTTTTTAAATTATTTCACTTGGCATTTCGTGGAGGGAATTTTACAACACCTCCAGAGATATCTGAAGACACCCAGAGCTGTCAAATCTAAGATTAGAAGTCATTGATCCTAACAAAGAAGACTATTACATTGGTCCAGACATCTTAAGGGAACTCAAAATGTTTACACTTCAACCCCCAGTACAAGCCCAAGATGGCCTTTCCAAAACCTACATCTCAAATAAACTTTTCTTCCTCTGGTTTCTATAAGTATGCAAATGACTTTCCTTTGTATATTAAAATATGTATTTGCTGTAAGTTATGATATCAAGTTATATAAGTATAAAGTTATAAGACAAACCATGGCCAAAAACCCATCGTTGCAGCAGAGTCAGAGGGCATAAAACGTGGGAATAGTCATTGGGAAAATAACACTGGGAATTCAAGAAGGCAGTTCCATTAGGAATGGAGAAAATCATCAATGATTGTGAAAATAATTGAGGTTTTGGAGGAGAAACCTTCAAACAATAGTATTGAGATTAATAAGTGCTATGTGCATGGGAAAATATTGGTTCAATGGAACAGTTGACACTTGAAGTACTTAGATCATTCCATTTCGGTTGTGGTTGAATCTATCATAGTTGTTAGCAAATAAGTAAATAAAAAGTACAACTTTTTCTCTCCCAGTTTGTTAAGGATCAGAGGTTTTACCCATTCCAAAGGGGGTGGCGGGGGTGGGGGGGTGGGGGGAGTTGTCTTCTGACATAAATTCAAACTGATGATGAGAATGCTTGGTCTTTAATTGCACTATTGGAAAGTATTCCGCACATCTGGTGACCATGCTGTTCAGCAACAAATTTCTCTATGGCTTTATGACCTCTAGTAGTTGTTTTTTTCCTTCTTTTTGTAACTCTCTCCAAAGCCCTCAGAAGCATCTGGAAGGTTACTGTTGAAGGCCCATCTCAATGCTGGTATGACCTGTGCTGATGAAACCAAGCAAAGGCCTAAAAGTTTGCAGTACAATTTCCTTTTACCTACCCAGCGCCAAAATAAAACCTTTAAAAAATTCCAAGCAATGAAAAAAATGATGGTAATAAAAATAAAAAACAATATGAGGCAAAAAGCGCTTATGAAATAAGTTCCAAGAAAGATCTGCTTTTTTCCCCTTGATGTCTACTGCAATACCTAAAAAAAAAAATCTTTCAGAAAATTTTTTTTGTATGAGTCTGAGCTCTACTGAGACCTGAAACACATACCTCCAGCTATTGGATAACCTGACGCTGCACGCTGCAGACACTGTGCTATCCTTATGGTCATGCTCTTTGCACTAAAGCACTAGACCTGGGTGTTTGGTCAGTGACGTCACTAAGACAACTTTTTGTCCTGGACACCTGGCTTTTTGAGCAAGCCATCATCAAGCCTATCTTTGTGAGCTCTGCAAAAAGACAAAGCTTAGTGGAGAAAGTCTAAACAAAGAAAATGAAGTCATCTCTCCTCAAGGGGCCATATGTCAGTTAATCCTTTTTCCACATGGAAGCAGTGAGTTTAGGGCAGCTAGGCCTGCAGTGCTGCACAGTGTGGTCCTATCTCCCCTGTTCTTCCTCCTCCCCCCTAGGAAACCTAGGCTGGTTGTCCAGTTGTCATGGTGAGCACAGGTGTGCTTTCTCGGGGCTGCTGGGGTTTTCTTAGGCCCTCCATCAGCCTGTGAGGCTCCCTCTCTTCGGAGGAGGAGTCTGCCTGGTTGACCACCTTGCCAGGTGGGTGTGATCCAAGGCCAGGGCTGGTTTCATCTCTCCACCCCAGGGGCTGCAAGGGTTTCTGGCACACCTACTCACCTGGCTGAGATCCACATCAGCTCTGGTCCATCGTCCCCACCTTTGGCTGTGAGAGGTGTTTCAGACCTGCGGGCACTGAGGAAGAGAAATGAGAGGACAGGTTTAGCAATGGCAGGGGTGGCTACAAGGAAAGGAAAAGCAGCTTTTGTTTATGGGGAGAAGGTAGTTCACACTAGGCTCCAGAGGGGCCACAGGTCAGTAACTCTCCTGGGCGTCACACAAATCAACCAATCCATCTGTGGCAGGGCTTGACTGCTGCACTTCTCCACATTTTCTTAGCCAGCCCCTCAGACTCAACTTCTGTGTACTTATTTCTGTATGTCTATGGATCTCTGTTCAGGTGGCCTCAGAAAGGATTTGTGTATGCTGTGATTATGGAAGGTGATTTTGAAATAGTTTATGAAAGGATTCTGCACTTTACAGATACGCTCCATTCCTAATAGCATATGCTAAAATTGCCAGTCTCTCAGGTGCATTTAAAATGATTCCTTTTCCAAAAAATTTTAGACAATATTTTTTAAATTATTTTTTACAAGTAATTTGTTTGCCCTTGCTTTGTTTTTTCTTTTATTTTAATGTAACCATGTCCTTTCCCATCGCTCTAGCTTTCTTATCCTATCCTTCAATCTCAGTAAAACAGTTACAAATGGGAGGGGAAACGGGCTGACAGCAAGTCCTTTTATAGATCTTCTGCTATAGAGTTTCCTGTGCTCATCCTTTAGTGAGAGAAGGTGGCTTACCTTAAGGAAAGAGGTGTGTTCTTAGTGCATGACCAAGTCTGATGACTGTTGGCCAGGTGAGTGGGCACTATGAGGTGCCTGGGATGTTCTTGCTGCTGCCACGGGCCACCTGGTCCGGATTACCCCCTGGGCAGCATCACTCAGCTCTGCAAAGCAGGGGAAGAGGCTCTGCCTATCAGATATCTCTATATTTTTAAAAATCCATCATTACCCCTAATTCTTGAACTGTAGCTACTTTCTGGAAATTCCTGAAAACTTCCACTGGATGATGATGATACTAGAGACATAGGAAGACTTAGTTCATTTATTTCATTCTTGCTTAGTGTCTTCCTAAAACTGTAAACCCAAGGTGTTCTCTTATGATAAAATATTAGCTTGTAGGGTCCTAGAGCGTGAATTGGGTCCTCTCCTTTCTGATGCCTCTTAGCATGTAGCTGGTGTACCACGACAATCTGTAGGCATGTAAACCAGTGTTCTGGATCATTCTCTGTTGCTTACAAAGTCACACCAGACGTGCTGGCATTGTGAAGGAAGGCTTGCAACTGTCGTCGTAAGCATGCCTCTGGATCAAGGTTTGGAAATCTGTCCTCTCTTGACCCCAGGCCTAGTGCATTATTTTGTAGCCAAGTTTTTGTAACCCATTATGGTTTTTTTAATATCTTTACAGTGACAGTATGAGCTACACCATACCATGGTGTTCATTCCTATTTCTGTGGACTAAGGAACATGCTGGATTGTACTTCCAGTATATGGACCCTGTTCTTGCTGGCAGCCATGTTAGAGGGGACACGTAGCATTTTCTTTGAAACTATAGAGCCCTTTCCTTCCAGAGTACCAACTTGCAGATACAGTGTAACCAATCCTTAAAATTCAAGATTGTTCTTTATTTTGTATGATTTACCTGTTATGTAGGTAATTCTTGCCATCTTTTTAAGATTTGCTCCTTGTTTTGCAAAACTTACCCCCCAAAATTATAAGACCAGTTGAGGCATATTGGGGAGACAGATGGGAAAGAACATTGCACTTGTATCTCCTTGCTAAGTACAATCATTTCTCTGATAAATTGGATGATTGATTTGGTGCTACATCTGAACCACCAAGCATTAAAGCGCCTACTGTGTGGGGAGATGCAGAGATGAATACAGTCTCTGCCTCAGCCTAAGCACATGACTAAAATTTGCAGCAGCCAGTGGAGAGTTGTGGGGTTTGTGTGTAAAACCAGTCATCTTTAGGGTTTCTTTTTAGAGGAGCATTGCTGGCCTTCATTCATAAGCTGGTTCCAAGCGCTGCTACTTAACAAATTGTTGCCGGTATCAAAAAGGCCCAGGGGCGTAGGCCAGAGAGATGGGCTGCTGTACCCAGGGCCCACTCCTCCGCCCTGGTCAGTGTCACAGGTCACTCTTTTTACTCCTGCGAT